GTGGTACTTATGGTAGTCGTGGTGGAGGCCGTGGTGGAGGTCGAGGTGGCCCGGTATCCATTTTCAAGTAAGGTGCTTACATTATACTCCAAGCAGTGATCTAATACGCTCTACAGAGATCCTAATTATCCAGCGGAGGCACCTGATGCAAAAGTCGCGAAAATGGAAGACGACTATCATAAGAGCTCATCCGGGATCAGTGCCTTGGATAAGATGTCGCTCAACCAAAGATTTCCTACTCGCCCAGGATACGGCGAAAATGGTCGAAAAGTTCAGCTCTATGCTAATTATTTTGCATTAAACACAAGCCCGAGTTTTGCTTTAGCTCGTTACCCGGTGACTATATCCCCGAGCATGGACGACAAGAAAAAGAAACGGGAGCAACTGTTCAATCTCATCCTCGAGTTGCCAGAATTTGCAAACATTCCTCTGGCCACTGACTACGCCTCCATGATAATCACACCGAACAAATTGCCTTTCAAAGAGGAACGTGAATTCAGCATTCCTTGGCGAAACGAAGGGGAAGACGATCCAAAATCAAATGCCCAAACTTACAAGGTTCGGATCGGCTCTCCAACGTCTTACACCATCCCCGATCTTGTCCAAAGCTTAGGCAAGATTTCTGCAGCTAATGTATCAGAAGTGCAAAGAGAGGAAGCCATCCAGGCCATGAATACGGTGATGGGATTCTTCGCCAAGAGCCAGAGAGGAACTGTTTCTATTGCAAATAATAGACACTTCTCCACAGCTCAAGAAGGAAACTGGCATAACTTCACGACCCTAAATTATGGATTGGAAGCCATACGCGGCTTTTATCAAAGTGTTAGACCAGCTACTGGTCGACTTTTGTTGAACGTCAACGTCACTCATTCCGTCTTCCTCGAGCGTGGGCCATTGAACGTTTTCTTCCAAAGACTTGGTCATGCCCATAGTGTTGTGGATAAGATAAAGAGAAAACGGGTAGAAGTCACTCACTTGGCTGCGAAAAAGTCCAAGTCCGGTATCATCATTCCCCGAGAAAAGACCATTTGGGACTTGGCTCGCCCAAGCGATGGTAGAACCGAAGAGCACCCCCCACAGATTGCTAGATATGGCGCTGGCCCAAAGGATGTCAGGTTCTGGATTTCTGTTGAACAATCCTCAACGAAGGCCAAAGTTCCACCAAAATCCGGATCAAAGCAGGGCTCTTCTAAGCCAAGCTCAACCCTAAACAAATACATTACCGTGTATGATTATTTCAAATCCAAATATCCGAACGTTGTTTTGGATCCGAAATTTCCTGTGGTTAATGTTGGCAACGACGTCAACCCATCTTACCTGCCAGTAGAGGTTTGCATCATAAAGCCAGGCCAGATTGTGAAAAAGGCTCTACTCGGTGATCAAACTCGTATGATGTTGGATTTCGCAAATAGAAGGCCAGAACCAAATGCCATGTCCATTGTCACTTCCGGTAAACAAGTCTTAGGCTTGAACACTAAAGATAATCCACTTCTCTCCAAATTTGGTGTTCAGGTGGGTAACAGCCTTATAACCGTTCAAGGACGTGTGTTGTCACCACCCGTGATCAATTACAAGAACAGACAACATCGCCCAATGACAAAGACACCCATGGATGGTTCTTGGAATATGAGGGACACTCATTTCCACACTTGCGGAGATCTAGGCAACTGGACTTACATGGTGGTCGAATCCGACAAACGTGGTGCTAAATGGAACCACGACGGCGCGTTTCAAACAGTTGAGCAATTTAGGGCCCACCTGGAGGGTGCGGGAATTGGAGTCCGAGGTTGGATGGGTAAACCCGCGCCTAGCCCTAAGCATATAGATGGTAACGAAGCAGCTACATCTGCCGACATTGAAAGAGTGTTCCGACTGATATCTACATCTGCAAACCTGAAGAAACCCAAGTTTCTTCTATGTATCCTTCCAGTGGACGATGTAATGCTTTATAACACGATAAAGCGGTTTGGAGATACCAGAGCCGGTATACATACAGTTTGCGTACAACATTCCAAGTTTGCAAAAGGAGACCCGCAATACTTCGGTAATGTCGCATTGAAATTCAATCTCAAGGCTGGAGGTATTAATCAGACAATCGACAAGCTTGGGATTATCAACGAAGGGAAGACGATGGTCGTTGGGATTGACGTAACACATCCATCCCCAGGATCAAAAGACTCGGCACCTAGTGTTGCTGCCATGGTAACAAGCACCGATAAACTCTTGGGTCAATGGTCCGGTATCTGCCGCTTACAAGGCCAAGCTCGTCAAGAGCCGGTATCAGAGCTCGAACCTATGTTCATTAGGCAATTGGACATCTGGCAGAGAAAGAATAAAGCATTACCAGAGAATATTCTGATCTATAGAGATGGTGTATCGGAGGGGCAATACGACATATTGCTCGAGCAAGAACTACCCAAAATTAGAAATGCCTGTCGTCAGAAGTATCCCGCAGATTATACCAAAAAAAGCTTGCCACGAATCTCAATAATAGTCTGCGGCAAGCGTCATCACACGCGCTTTTATCCAAAGGATACTGACAGTGCAGACTCTAAGTCGAACTGTCCCGCCGGTACTGTAGTCGATCGTGGTGTTACAGAATCTCGCAACTGGGACTTTTTCCTACAGCCACATCAAAGTTTGATGGGAACGGCCAGACCTTGCCATTACTTTGTCATTCAAGACGAAATCTTCAAGTCTCAAAAGCTCAAGGCTCCTCACATTACTTCAGCCGATTCTCTCGAAGAACTGACGCACAACATGTGCCACTTGTTCGGGAGGGCTACGAAGGCTGTGAGTCTATGTCCGCCTGCGTATTACGCGGACTTGCTGTGCACTCGCATGAGAGCGTATCTCGCAGATCAGTATGATCCTCCAACAGGCCGGACTACACCAGAGCCTGGAAACCCTTCAACACCGTCTACGAATGTAGGTCAGGGCAGAATTAATATCCACCAAGATATTACAGAGTCGATGTTTTGGATCTAAACGTTCTCATGTGTTCCTGGTCGTATCTTTAGATTTCCAGATCACTCTCTACTCCGAGAGCCTGAGTGCATAGGCGAGCAGACGTCCGTTTTCAACATCCCCATTTATCGACGCATTTTTCAACCATGCCGATTGGTTGTTGAGAGCGAGAGATAGTTTCATTTTTCCCGTTTACTATTCATTCATTTGATTATTACAGCAATTCCTACGCTTCCGTAGATAACAGCAACCATCTCGATTTGCGTTTCCAATTTTGGTTTGCAATAACTTCAGCTTAAAAAAATAGTATTGAAATACAAATACGGACCTTTTCCATACTAGATTTGGCCTATAGTGACATGTTATGATAAGAGTGGAATTTCGATCAAATGAATTTTACATACCGTGTGTAGCACACAGCTAGAGTTCTAACACACTTTCGATTATTCCTTCTTATATCTTTGAGTGAAAAAGAAATTGTATCAAATTAGATAACCCTCCAAAAATGAAACAAGGGATGAAAATACGGAAGAGTAATGCGTCACTACATATCTTTTATCCTTCCTTTCCTTCTTCATGAAGGCTGAAGTTGCCAAGAGCTTGGATAAACTAATCGAGATATGGACTCGTCAGCTTTACTCAAGGGGAGAATATGGGGGAGGTTGTATTTATGAAAGGGGCTGATGATTTATTTTTCTCTTACGGTTTATCTTATTAGGCTGGGTTCTGTTTGTTTCGATACTCACCATACTAGAGGCTGGAAAATATTGTTGACTTACGCGGAGAGCTATAACTGGGGTCGTTGTGTAGATGTGAAGATATCGTGAGATGCTTGACCTCTGATTTCGATCGATCTCGAATTCGCACTTATCGCATGTAAGTTCTCTTTTGCCATTCAATTGGAGAAGGGCAATGATAGTCTAACACGTCCAGCATGCGCTATCTCGTCTCGTTCTTCTTCGTCTTTCTTTCTTTCCTCCCTGTCCTTACTCAAGCATGCCTCGTCTACTACGCAACCTTCCCTTTCGATAACGATAAACCGTTTGTAGGGAAGATAATCGATAATGGGATCGAGACGTGCTCGATTAATATGACGTATAATGAACATTGGAGATGGCAGGCGTTGGAGAATGAAAAGGATTGGGAGAGGGAGGAGTGGGCTGTGAGTTTTTCTTCTTGTTTTTGGATGTCGGATTGAGAGTTTGGGGTGGGAAGTTTTGGGATGAATAAGGGGGGAAGATGTGAAGAGGAGGGATGGTGGAGATAGATGGGTGAGGAGAGAATGGAGAGATGGGAATGGGGGATTTTGAGAAATATCAGGAGAATGATGCTAACATTCACAAACAAAATAGTGGAAACCTTGGCATTTCACTTGCACAAAGAAACTATGGCAGGGGAAAATCAAGGGGAATAATACGGTGCATCATCCTCTTCTCTCACTCAACCACACCTTTCCCAAGCCGATGAAATCACTAACGTCGAGAAAATACAGCACCGCACATACGCAGCAGAACTGGGCGTCGGTCTCCGCGGTGTAACATACCATGCGCATGGCGAGAAATTCTGGTTCAATCCGGATACGGTGGAGGATGTGGCAGGCGAAAGATGGGTTTATAGTAAGAAGCTGTGGTGTGCTGGGAAATAGGGTGGGGATGTACGTGGTGAGTTGACTGGAGCGGGATTATTGGGTTGATTGATGATGGGATTTATGAAAGATAGGGTGGTCTGATGGGTCGCTTTCGGCGAGAGTGTGAAGAGGCTGTATAGGCGATTCGATTCGAATTTTACGTTCTTATTGTCAAGATTACATTGAATCGCTTGGTCGTACTTCAAAGTGAAGGGATAGACATTATAGGAACTTTTCTGTAATCAACCTTGAAGTCATCGTATGAGTCTACATAACCGTGGTTCATGTATATTTCTAATGATTCTTCTGCTCATGTTTTGCGGAGCAAATGCACAAATGCCACATTCTCCTGTATCGAAGCGATTCTAACTTGAACGAATTATCTAGAGGATATTCCTTCTTCCATTCAATCGTACTTGAATTTGCCTTCTCGTGCCCATGGAGCCAGAACTTCCTCGTCTGCATCCCGTTGTTTCACTTTTACATACCACTTCTGCACCCATGTCTCCCGTATCCGCTGTTTTATCGCCGCCTCCTCTTCTTTCTCCTGATCTTGGGCGTATTCGAACCATTTAACCGGGCCATACATCAATTCATCAAAGACTTCCCTATTTTGTGCTTATTTTTGACGCCTCATAACCTTCTTTTCCTGATTCCGAGCTGGGGGCAAGTTCAGTAATTTCGACCTCATAACTCAATGACCCATGAAGGGCAATGAATACTTCCATGTCGTGCAATATTCGGTCAATAGTAGTGCCTGGGTGTACATTGTTCATATCCAAGCGCTTTAGGCAGTGCTTATGAGGTATCAGTCGCTCATTGGATCCTCAATCACTGAAGATTATCTTTAGGTGCTTGATTTTTGGGCAGATCTCAGCGAACCTTTGTCATACATTTATAGAGCGATCTATTAGTGATAGCAAGTCGTATGCGTTGATTCCCTACAAAATAATGTTAATTCGGTGCTAGTATCAAGCGAATCTGCAGCTCAGCCAAAACTGAATGGTGATCTACTAACAAGATTTTTGACTGGAAGTAGTAAGTCTTTGTGAAGTCGCGAAGCATACATGAGACGATCCTCCTTGTGTTCTCGATTACCTGCCTGCCGGTCAAAGCAGTCATTGAATTCAAGTACGTCACGTTCATAGTCGATCCAAGCGAAGAAGTCGAGAGCATCGTCGCCCGTGCTAGATGTATCTGGATGTCTGAAAATGGTGTATCTCCTCAAACAAGCTGCTAGCGATTCTCGGCATACTTGAAAGAGGAAAGGGGTGTTGGGAAAAGTGGGCGAAGAAAGCACAACGTCAGGGGCTGAGTCATGGTCGACAGCCCGATCCCAAATCATATCACGAACTTCTTGAGGAAAGTCGGGAAATCTGTGGAATACTGGCTCTTCTGTCGCGAAGATATAATTGTATGGATTGTTGATTTCGGTTTCAGGGGATGGGCCTGGGTAATTCATTTTTACTTCTACACAATTCATTATTAGTGCATTTATTAAATGAACAGTGTATGAAATTCCTCGCCTGCAATACTCGCAACATCATTCAATTCCATCTTGGCTTAAGTTTGAGATGTTGGAAGAAAGTTTGTGGGGGTGTCATTTATGGGAGATGTGAAAGTGTGGGGGTTAGAAGGGAGTCTAGTTTAGTGCCACTACTGAAGTTGGGGAAGAACAACTAGTGCACTTGCCTTATTCGTGTCATTACACATGACACATGATTTGACTTCTATCTATATATGGGCAATTCATCTGCTTATGTGATGTCTAGCTGTATCGTGGTCAAGTTCGGTAAGGGTCAGGACTATGGACCGGGTGTCGAGCTAGGAAGAACTATCAAGTGGTTCCCCGGTCTATGGTAGGATTTAAAGCTACCATCATTCAATATAGATGGAGGACTAGGTGACGTAATGATTTGAGAAGATGAGCAGCGTATGAATGAGGATCGTTTACTGTTTGGTCCCCGGACAAGATTCAAAAGATGAAGTGAATGACTGTCAAGTGACAGTTGAATCTTTTGATATCAATACACCACGAATCTATAGCAATCTACTCAAGATGAAGGGTAAGTGAATATCCACTATACAATCAGGTATCAAATCCCTCACTTCACCTTACTCACATTCACCAGATTATCCACTTCATACATTACTCCGCTTCTACAAGATTCAAGTGAATATCACCATCCAATCCGATCTCACGATCTTCCAATGGCTGTACCGAGCAAACGAGGCTGCTTTCTATTTCATTCGCATCACAAAGCTCTTCTCAAAGATTCTTCTACCTCCATCTCGAAACTCGAGAATTTTATCAAAGTCTCCATATCTTTGTCAAGCAGGCTCTCAAATACAGAAAAACACCCACCACCACATCCCAACACCCCATCTCAATAATGTCAACCACACTCTTCCCTCCCGTTCCCGCCCCCTCCACCGACCAACAATTCCTCATCTCCGCCGGTGTCCGCGTCCTCGAGTCTCAATATCACACTCTCGATTTCTCACCTCAATTCCTCTCCATCTATGGCCGACCCACCCTCGTCTATCGTCCCTGGGAACGTCTCTGGTCGATTCCCTGCACCCACATTCTCGAAGCCGTCACACCGCGCTACCCCGCTCACACAGCTGTGTTCCTCAAATTCGCGGCGTATAAAGATCGGTATGTCGAGTTTTGCTTGGAGGTAGATAATTATTACGGATGGTTGAGAATGAATAGCAATAAGGGGAAGGGAAATGGGAATTCACGGGAGGGAGAGAATGGCGAGAAAGAGGGGGCGAGGATCATTGGGAGAGCGGAGATGGAGGGCGCGTGGTGTAAGCTTTTGATCGGCATGTTTGATGAGATGAGGTCGAAGAGGGATGTGATGAGGAACTTTGTGGGCCTGAGAAGTATGCTTGATGAGGAGAGAATTGTTATGACTATCAAGGAGGTAGAAGCGGAGATGAAGGAAGTATTGAGGTTCGCGGTGGAACAGGTATGTGCTTTTCGCTTTTCATCTGTTTGATCATCTATGAACGAAGATGAGAAAAAAATGCATGAAGTTGTCAACTAATATTCTTGGCACATCAGAGATTCAGCAAAGAAGTCGAGGAATACTGGGCTAGAAAGCGGAAGATTTATGAATATCGATGTCCAGAATTGGACGTTGAGGTATGTTCCCCCCAGCCTTCAAATTTCACACTCCCTATCGTCCATCCATTAGTCCCGCCTCCCTCACTAACCCCGCTTCCCCTACACAGTGCATAACCGACTGGTCCATCGAAGCGCCCTTCCAGAAATCCCTCTTAAAACCCAACGACATCAACAACAACGACTACATTGAAACCGACGACGAGATCACCGACGAAACATGCACCTCAAGCCATGACGAAAACATCGACTCGGGTATCTCTCTAAACAGTGCCGAATCCTCTCAAACGCAAATGACTCACGAACACATACAGAAGATGAGTCAGGAGTCAGAGCAGGAAGGAACACAAGAAGAAAGTGTAGAGGAAGAAGAGGAAGAAGACGCCAGCATAGAAGAATCTGATCCGGCGTTAAACACAAAGCTGAATCTGAAGCAGGAGATGCGGGGAGAGGATTCAGATACCATGTATGGACGATTGGCGTTTAGGAATTAGATCCTGAGACCTGGGAATCAGAAAGCTGAGGTGAAAGGCAATTTTTAGGAAAGGACATAAAAATAGGCGTTGAGATAAGTGTCAAATGCGCATTGGAGTTGACTTGTGGACTGTGGATGTGGATGCGAATGTGGTATTGGGCTATGGATGAGCATGGATAACATGAATAGCATGTATGCAGATAGGATACTTAGTTACCTCGCTTCTTCGGAAGACATCTAATACTGGATAAGAATAAACATAATGAGAATACCTTTATCTTCAATCCAGATATGTATTCGGAGTATCACTTCTTGACCTATCATCTTCTCTCTACTCTTCATTCCATTCCATGTCCCCCGCTGCTCAGTTACTCACACGAAAATCATCCACACAAAGGTGAATAGATAGATATAAAGTATATTTCCTGATTTGTATTCCCAAGCTATGTACTCCTCCTTTCCTGTTCCCCATCCCCTGCTCCCCCATCCTACCTAATCTCCCAACTCCATCTCGTTCAACCAACCAACCAACCATAACACCCCCTCAATATCTCCAACCCAATCCAACACCCATCCATCCGCCATGCACCACAGAAGGAGAAACAAGACAAAAGGAAAAGAGAAGAGAAGAATACATGAGTTGTAAGTACATGCTAAGTTTATAAAATCCACCTCATACCAGCCCATCCCACCCCATTGCAATCCCCACAAAACGCCTAAACCCAAAAAACAGAATATCCCTGAAACACCAATCCATGATGCAACCGCGAAAATGAAAAAAATCAAAACCGATCGATGAAAACACGCCACCTATCCAATCCCATCAATGATATCGGTCCATGCACCATGATTCCCTTCCATTTATCTACCTTCCAGTTACTGCACCAAAAACACCGTCCGGGTAGCAAGCAAGCAAAGCAAGTAGTAAGTAAGTGAGCCTCCTTCGCTGATACTATTGGTCCCATCCATTCATCCGTTTATACTCCTGCGCAAGGATAAGAAGGAGAGAGAGGAAAGAAAAGGAAATCAAACAGAATTATTCCCATCTCCCTTCAATCTCAACCGCCTTTGCTCCTGCTACTCTCCTTGCGCTCCCGCTTCCTGCACCATATAGCATCTCCATCAACTTCCCCTTTTGCGTTTCCCTAACCTTTCCTAAATATCCACTCGCATCTTCTAGACCTTGAATCTGCTCTTCGACTCGAATCGTACTGCTATTTGTCCTTACGAGGGGACTAACTAACTTTTTCCTTAGATAATCTAGATTTGCTCGTAATGTTAACAATTTGCCGTTATGATCGAGAAGAACAGATTTGTTTTGAATAGTCTTAGAACGGATATTGGCGAGAAGCTTTTTGTTCTTCTCGAATTTGTGAAGGGTACTGGAGGAGGGACCGAGAAGTTTGGTCCAGAGTGAAGAGAGAAGTTTGTCTTCGTCCATTTCTTGGGTATCTAGCTCGCGGGATGCGCTGCGAGATAATGCTTTGAATTGATGATCGATCTTTTCGAAGATGGCAAAGAGATGAAGAGCATGGTTGAGCTCGGAACTAATAGCGTCTTCAAGCACTGATAGGAACTCGTTGAATGTTCTTTGAAGTGTTTGACGTGTTCTTTGAGGCGATGACATGCCGAATATATTCGTTGCGACAACGCCAATTTTGGTCGGTGTTCCAGTAGGAGTTTCGAAAACTCCTACTCGGCTAAGAAGCGTGTGTATATTATCAAAAGCTGAATTAAGAGGAGATGGCGGCAGATGATTTAGTTGAGCAAGTTCTCGTTTTGCCCAATCCATAACGATCAAGATACTAGATATGTCAGATGATTTCAAGCAACAGAAGTAGAAAGTATTACCCATCCACATCTCCGTCAACATTAGCAAAGAATCTGGTTAACTCAACAGACAAAGTTTTGAGGGTTTCACTCAGTTCATCGAGTTCTGCAACAATGACAGGCGCAGACGTCATATTTGTTGAGCGTACACTCTCACCAAGATCCCAGACCGCAATACCAGTCTGCTGTATATCGCCGATTTGTTGAATTCCATTTTCTGAATAGAATATTAGAGGTTCAAAAGCTCTTGCAAGTCCCGCGACCTTAATAAGATCCGGGACTGGTGGTAGTTGTGAAGGTTGAAATAGTGTTCGTAATGTCAAGATGGAAATAATCGCGATCACAAGCGCACTGCATACGGAAGCCCATGAACTCATGATCTTCTCAAACTTTAAACTCATAGATGAAAATGCAGCTTCAAACGGTTCTGTACGATGTTGTACTTCGGTTTTAAATGCGAATCGAATAACTTTTTATACATCAGCATATGAACCAATACATTTACTCCAAGTTTCATACAGTTGTTGGGGTTCTCCATGGAAGGTACCGAAGCGCCTTCGTGGCCATCCTCCTGTTTAACTACCGCGCCAAACATCTTTCCAAAATCATCATTTCCCGAAGGATATGGACCTGGCGAGGGGCTTCTCTTCTTTTCCGGTGATATTGAACCGGTTGGTAATCTGGTTCTTAGCGCTGCGGCAAGAGTCGGATCAGATCCACCTCCCTCATCAGCACTCTCATATTCCGGACTGCTTTCTCTAGAAAGTTCCCTGTGCCTCTTTCCCAATATATTACTACGCCGATTCCAAAAGCCGCTGCTTCGGTTGCCGTTTTCCTCTCGTCTCCATGCTGGCGGACTGTAGCCACCTCTGGATACCGAGTCTCTTAGGTCGTCCTCCGAGTCCGTGTCGCTGCGGAAGCCCGAATGCTGGGAAGGATAACCAAAACGGCGAGGTGGGTTGTGATCTATCTCTATGTTTCCTTGTTCGAAGTCCTGCAGAGATGCGTTTAACGAGGGGTGGTCGTCGAACATTCCTTCTAGCTCCTCTATCGTAGTGCCCATGATTTCTATTATTCTTCACGATGTCTGCTGATGCGCTCCAACTTGGTGTGGGAAGGGCTTTCGTCTGTATGAGATAAAGATATGCGAACGATATGATTATGACAATCAAGAAGGTACTAGGTGCGATGTTTAGGTTGATCAGTGTAAAATGGACTTGGTTTTGGATAGTAAATATGGACATATCAATCCAAAAACACGTCTATTTTAAGTAGCTGTTTACAGTCGCGTAAACTCTGTGAATTTATGACTTTAATTCATACAAGTATGCGACTGTTATTCTTTTCGATATATGAATGCGCCACTGATGGATTGAAAGTTATGTTGGTTTTATCTGGATGTGACTGAACTGATAGCGATGCGATAATGGATAAGTGGGTGGGTTGGAAGAAGTGAATCGCGGATATGATACTAAAGTGGGCTTGGTGGTAATGGATGGTGGATGGGTGGTGGATGGGTGGTGGTGGGTAGTGGGTGGTAGACTGGTACTTGGTGTGTGTACTGGTACGGGACACGGATAGAGGGAAATAGGTATAGTGCACGGTATTTTGGTGGGGTTCAGTCTTTTTTCAAAGGCCCATCGCGCATTCGTGTTTAAAGTGATTGGGGGAGAGAAGAGAGAAGAGGGAGGGGAGAGAGGAAAGAAGACGAATGGTAATAATAATATGAATATGGTATGAGTAGGTAGGTAAGAGGAAGGAGGATACTTCACTTTGTACATACAGCAAGCACTAGAATCGACTCCAGTAGTATCATTGGTCTCTAAATAGAAATAAGTACAGAAGTACTGGTACTGGTACAAACTAAAATCATATTCAATCCATTCTACTCGTACCTACCTGGATCTTTCCTAACCTTGGTAGGTATCTAATAGATTTATATGGATATTCTTCATCTGCCGATTCTAGCCACTCCCAATCTAATAAATCCCATGATATATATATACATAGTACATACACATACGTATGTATGAAGAAATAGCCTTGAATTTATACTTTTCTTTCCCGAGCTCCCTTTGATTTTGTCTATGTTAATTCTATTCCAGGCTTCTTCATCTAGCTGTACACCACCACCACCACCACCACCACTGCTACCACTACTGCAATCAGAACACTGACTTGTCGACTTCTCCCTCTCCCTCCCCCTCCCCTCTCTTGCATCTCTTCCAAGTTCCCCCTCATCATTCCCCTGCTATCCAATCCGAATCTTGCTGCGTTGTCCATCCTTCATCCCTGTCTAGCTTAATCCCAGTATTGGTATGTGTTTCAGGGATACATCTCTTCTCACCTCAGTCCCTGATTGGCGGAGATGACCAAATGATGCAGGGAGAGCATCATGTACTACTTGTACTGCGTGGCTGGACCAATCATGCTGCTAGCTCTTTCCATCTCAAGATATGGAACTAATGCAATGGCTTTAGACGATTGGATATGGTGACGTGAGAGATGGAAGGAAAGAAAGAGGAAGATCGGGCGATCAAAGCATTTGTCTGTAGGAGGTCTTCGACTTCCCTTGCTTGGATTTTGCTTTGCTCCAAAAAAGAAGTGTTCAGGAAGGAAGTATAAAATTGTTACATTAACCAGCCACCGAATTATGCTTTTATACTGTGGTGAAACAATCAAAGAAAATGATAATCTACAAGAAGACCTTTTTAAATACGTCACATTCATTAAACGCCCTTCTTTTTGAAGATACGAGAGAGCAGATACAGATGCATGAACAGACTTTGCTTTGTAGAACATCAAAATTGCTATTTTATGCATGATGTTGTGCCTATCTAAAATGCTACCTGTTCGCTATGCTAATTACAAGATATACTACATTTGGTTTTCCCAAGGCTTTTTCTCTTGATCCTCCATCCCTTGCTCGCTATCCCTCAAATCCCTTGAATTTCGTAGGTATCGTATCATTCTGAATGACCGTATCAATGAAATGAGATTTGCGTCTTTCTCCTAGTGCTCACACGTTCGTATGCAATTTATGTAAAAGTAACAAGACTCATCATCTTCCGCCAGCCATTACACTTCTGTAGTATCCCAAACTTAGATCGATAGTGTGCTTCAAGTATCTGTCTTCTGTGAGGGGCAGTCTCAAAACCTTCGGCAAATCCACATTCTGTTTGACGTGGTTAGTACGTACTTGTCAAATGAGGGGGCCACCAGAATGTTCTTACCTCGCCCTTTTTCTCCATTTCCACCACCGCTTTCGCCACTAATCCACTAATAGTTTCAATTGCCACGGTCTCCATAAAAGCGGGGTGGCGCGATTCATCCACGACAGCCGGTAACCCTGCCAACAATCTGTCCAATACCGCGAGGTCGAGTTCTTGTCTCTTCTTTTGGAATTCAAGTAAAGTGAGGAAGTCCTGATAAATCTCGCCTCCAAGATGCCACTCCAAGATAGCATCCTCCTTGCCCGCAAAGCTGGCAAGAATATTGCGAAGTGTAGCATAATCGAATTCGATAACTGCCTTTGGGGCAACTTCCTTTGCAAAGGTGCGGTGAGCTTCTTCAAACAATCCGGCTTTGGTCAAAAATTCGACTTCGCTTAATGGATCCTTCCCGACACTTCGAGTGTACAATGCCTTGGCCTCCCATATCCATGATGCTGGAATTTTATAATGCTGCACCAAGGTAATGAAGCTCTGGCTATCTTCAGATCCGATCTTCCCAGCATGTCGAGCAAGATGATCTTGGATGGATTTTGCACGAGCGTTGGTCGATGACAAGTGAAGCAGAACAAATACTGCATCCAGCCAATATCCTTCATTATTGAGTTGAGAAGCAAAAGCCAAGGTAGTCTGGTCTTTCTTCTCCTCGGCAGTGCCTTGGTAATCCAATGCACCAAAAGAAGTTATGGCCCGACTCAATTGCCACGAAAGGCGCATATCCAACGGCGACAGTTGTGAATTCTCAGGCCGTAGAATAGCCTCGAGATCGGCGTTATCATAGGTATACAACTTCAATAGACCCCAAAGAAGATCCTCGCGCTCATGAAGCTGGTCGTCTTGCCATAGCTTAGGAATCTTCTGTTCGACGTACCAAGCGTGAGGTCTGGATGTCTCTTTTTCTGCCATTTCTTTGTCAAAGATTTTGACTGCGACATCGAATTCCTCATTTGCCTTGATTCCGTACCACAATCTCATGCCAAATGCTTGCCGCCAATCGAGCCCGAAACGTTTCGAAATAATGAAGTCTTCAATACGATCTTCCATATGAGGTGCTTTGTTGCCTTCACAGTAACAGACATTTCCAGCGAGTAGTTCGTAAAGAGCACGGATTGGCTGACTAAACTCAGAGAGAGCTTTTGTGTTTCGCCACTGTAATAGCTGCTCGCGCATATCTTTCTTGAGACTTTCCTTGCCACCAATCATTGCAATAAGTGTAGCCAAATGGAAGTTCTTGCCATTGATAAGATGTCCACAAGCCTCTGGAATCTTGTGACCGGACAACGAGGCGATCGCTTTCTCTTCATGGGATCTCGCCATCGCAACATGCTGAGATGATGCCTGAGCAACTAGATTTTGCCAAAATGTAGACAATTTATCCTTGCGTAGGCGCTCAACTGCATTTTCAATATGATTTAGTTCTTGAGGGATTTCAATATGGTCAAAAAGAATGCTGGCCAGTTCCCAGACGAGCTTTTCATGAGCTACTGATGGATCTCGAACATTTCGTTCGTCGAAGAAGTCTAAGAAGGAATATGTCTCTGGCAATGATGCGTAAGGAACACCATCGTAATTCTCGATGACCGTCAAAGATTGGTGCTTCTTAAGTGCATCCGCGGAAGACTCATTAGAAAATTTAGCGAAACGGATATTACTGGCTTCGGCAATGCCGCTCTTTTGGATCGTGAGTAGACCATCCTTCTCACGAGCTCGACGCGATTTCGTGAATGGTTTGGAATCGGCAGACGCGGCGTACACCAAGGTTCCATCCGGGCCCCAGCTTGGTTTGACAGAGTCGTGAAACGCACGATCCTCTTCTGGCATTTCAGATTCGTCATCACCAATTTTGGATTTCTTGTTAAAGGGTTTCTGTAGATATAATTTCTTAGCATTGTATTATATAAATATTAGATACATGAGTGGACGCAGCGAGCGGTCCCATTAATTATCACCATCTCACAAGAATGTTTAGCAAGGAAAACCAACCTCAAAATTATCGCCCCTCTTGTAATTAGAAGCCTTGATAGGACTTGCGACCTTTCCAAACAAGTCATTGTGAACATCCATAAACGATGCAAACCCGTTTGTGTTTGAAAGGCCCTTGATAGTTGTTGGAACTTCAGTTTGTGCCAAGACAGACTGCTTTTCGTTTCCGTGAACATCAATAAGACTTTTCAAAACAGCACGATCCTGTTTCTTGGGGCTGGCAGTTGCTCTCAATGTAGCCGCCCAATCATTTGCAGCTGGAAATCGGAGCTTGGATGGTGTATCCAATTTCTGCGCTCTTGCTCTAGCTCTCAAAATTGCACCAGGTGTCCCAAATTCAACAGTATCATCTTCATCTTGCGAGTCCTCCATTTGCTCCGCGGTATTGCCAGTTTCTGGAAAAGAGCCCGCCATCTCTTGATCCACGATACTGACAGATTCATCGTCCTCGTAGACGTCGTCTTGGTCAATTGGTTCCTCGACGCCGCTTTCTGACTGTGAACCCACGGAGCGACTATCTAAAAAAGACTCCTGGTTTTGAACAAATGTACTATCCGCGACTTCTTCATCTGAGTAAACCTCCTCATCATCGAATGCGCCTGGAAGGATCTTCTTCTTCCTGAATTCGAATGTATCCTCGGGGTCTGACTCTGTTTGTGTCAAATCCATATCAGATGCAAAGGACTGATCGAAGTATTGAGGGGTGGCCTTTGGTGTACGAGTTCGCGGAGTTGGTGTGTCTGGAGGAGCAGTAAGAGTACTGTTGCCAAAGTCGTCACCATCTTCTTCTTCAACCTCCATATCGTCGTCCTCCTCATCTCCATAATCAAGTTCATAAACTGTGTAATGT